CGCACCTATTATCAACACCTTAAGTGAAATTTTAGTTTTCTATTGGCCATTTGCACGGCTACCACTGAAGGGATATTTCTTAGACGGATATTTATTCTAAGTCAAACTTTGAATGTAACTTTTGTTTATACAAGAATCACATTCAAAGCTCCACTTGGATTTATTATCCCTTAAGTTATAGCGGTGCAAATGACCGTTAGTTAGACAAAAAATACCTACTAGCCTAAAATCATCGTGAAATTTGGTACTTAGGTAGCTTATGTAGTTGGCTTTTAACTGGTTTAAGCAAATCATCACTAGATTTTTTCTATTTTCAATAGAATAATTAAGGATGTCATTTTTCACCTATTATCGACACTTGAAATTTAGGATTGCCTCCAGCATCAACACAGTAAGACCTTTTCATCGTCATACGGTTTTTTAAAGTTGTTTTTAATTTAAATATTGAGTAATTTTGGAAAAACCATCTTTTAATTTTGATTTCTGAGACAGAAGCACTTGGATTGGTTAAGTTTTTCAAGATTCTTGCAGATATTTTTGGATTTCTTCTCATAAACCCCTCGTACCAAACCAATGCCTTCGAGGTCTTCCGGCTTTAAAATGATGGACTTTTTTCAACCACTTCACAAACATTTCCACACTGTCTAGTTGATCCTTAATGACTGGAAATCCACAACCAGCCAGGGATAATATCCATTCAATCAATGCATTTTCATCTTGTTTACTGAGGACTGTTAATATTCCTATTTGCCTAGGAAAACTTTACGAGACCGAAATGCGGACATTTTTCCCGATTGCACTGCTTACTGCCTGATTCATCGCCTCTTCGAAGTATTGTGAGTGAGCTTTTGAAGCTGAAAGAATTAATTTAATTAAACCTATCATCGACATTAAAATGTACATAATCAAAATAAGAATTTTAATAACCACACTTTTTAAATGGTTTGTAAAATATGGTGTCCATAACTGTATTTACGAAAATTTTTACATAATATGGATGATGCTAATTGAAAAGGATCCAAGCACCAAATTATAAATTTGCGTAGTCGGTGGTTTTGTAATATATCACGTTTTTTAAAAATTATCATATTTTTAGAAATTTTTTCCATATTAAATTGTTGTACGTTTGAAAGCAAATGATAAACACTAGTGGATTATCTTTTTTCCACTTAGCAAAATATAGTTTAAGCCCTTCTTTGGCAGATGGATCCTTTTCAATAATTTAATAATAGTTTTTTATAACCTGGAAAGGATCCAAGCTCCCTGGATCTGTTTACAATTTTGTCCACCGCAGCTACCTGACCATAATATTAATTCCTCTACTCCCTTTTCAAGATGCACTTCGACAAACTTCTTTAAACATGAGCCCACTTCTTGTGCGCCCTGACCGGCTAAACTTTTTTTCCACAAAAAAAAAACAATATGCGGAGTTTTTGTGGAGCCTGAATGAACCCCCTCATTAGAAATACTCAATTGTCTTTTATAATAAGCAATATTTGTTGGTAGTTTAGGTAATCCTGGGACCTTTTCCATATCGTAGCAGAGGGTTTCTATGAATGGGTTCCCACTTGCTTTCTTTAAATCTTTATTCAACTGATCTCGAGCAAGCTGCGCATTTTCAAGATGCGTGTCATGTTGTTCTTTTAAAACTAGCTGTTGATTCTCATTCTGTGCATTTTTTACCTGTGAAGAATACATGTCATATTTGTTACATATGTCTTTTATAGGGGGCTTTGGCCTCAAGTTGAAATGTTTGTAAAATATATTTTTATCTACAAGCGTTTGGTTATGACGATTTTAAATAACCATTTTTCTAGTATTTGAGTTATGTCATGAGTCTCATAACACAACTAGTGGTGTTATAGACTAGGTTATGAATTCATAACACAACTAGTGGTGTTATGGACGAGGTTATGAATCTATAACACAACTATTTTTGTTTTGGTGATTTGACAAATGTCAAAGGTAAACCTGTTATGGTAAAATGAAGGTAAACAACTACTAAAAAACGAAAATAACTGAAAAACATTCTTATTTTTCGCGTTGTAGATGCAAAAATTGTACATCACACGTGCGTTTAAATATGACTACAAAACTCGTGTGATTAGAACGACTCGGTCTACGACCTCGTCGTTCTAATCTTTCACACACGTTATTGTAATCATGTTCATAAACGCACTTATAATGTAAATAACTATTATAGAACTGAAAACTAACTTTGGGATTTTTGTGTTCTACATATAGTTCGTACATTTTTCTTTCTGTGAGGTCGTGAGGTGAAAATTTCGCTTCCGTTTCTGAACGATAGTAGTGAGACACATAGGTAAGAAATTTGGCTATGTGATCGATAATTTTATTTATTGATTCTACATCAATTTCCTTCTTCCCTCCAGATTTTCCTCGCTCGACTTGTATTTTGGTGCTACGTTTTTTTTTTCTAATGCAGTGTTAACCCGCTTTGTGGATATTTGGTAGGTGTTGTTATAAGTATCACGACGGCACACTTCAACCTTTCCAAGCATATACACTCTAGTAAAAGATTTACCTGGCCCATCCTTAGTTCTTCCACTCATTTTTAGTTCAAATTGAAATCCAAAAACATGAAAACCAGCACTCACAAAAAAAACTGTCCGAAAATATAAAGGGAACCAAGCAACAGTAATCATTTTCTATAAACAGTACTGGAACTTGGATCTTTTTCTATAACAGAAAACTGCTATTTCGCTCAAAGTCGCTTGGATCTTCAATCAATACATGCCGCTAGGATGCCGGTAGGCGCTTGAGACTTTTTACACATTAAAAATAAATGCCAAACTGTCGTATGGTTCCATAATCCAGATTTTTGCAATTTGGCGCTTGGTTCCTTTTCAATTATCATCATCCATATTATCTAGGGGCGTTTACCTTACGCCGTTTTCAATTTTTTATGCTGGCTGTTCATTTAAATTAGTAAAAATCCTATAAATAATACTTAAAAATAACAAAAGGGCAAGATGGCGGCGGGACCTCTATTGTCGCCACTGTATGTTATCTAGCCACTGTAGTGCTAGCTAGTCCGCATAATAAGTAAAATACTGTAGAAATCTATTTTATCGTGCTTAACATTTTTGTTTACTGAACATAGTACCTCAACATTTTTGACGGGACCCTCGTCACACAGGGAAGAGGGCATTCAGAAAATACGACGGTTCAGAAATACGACGGACGACGAATTAACCTTTTGTTTGGACGCCATATTGCGGTGCGCGAACATAGTTGCCAAAAGAAGAAAACAGAAATTACTAGAGTACTGTCAACATTAGAAACAAAAGTTACTGAATAAATTACATTTAAAATTTAAATTTGCCGCCCATTACGAATGTTTTTGAAAATAAAAGCCATCAATTTTAACTTAATAGAAATAACAAAATATCTATCTACCTACTCACTTTACCAAATTTCGGCTTCCTATCTCAAGTCTAGTACTCATAAACGCGAAATACCCTCTTTTTTGACATTGCTTCGACAATTTGACGTTTTATGTGTGAATCAAACGTCAAAAAAGAGCGAATTTCACGGTTATAAATGCTAGGCTTTATTGTTTATAGAATCAGAGAGAGAAAGTAAACAAACAAAAAGGATAGCGAATATCAATCATTTAGTTAATTTTGTTTTTAATGTTGACAGCCCGCTAGTAATTTTAGTTTTCTTCTTTCGGCAACTATGTTCGCGCACCGCAATATGGCGTCCAAACAAAAGGTCAATCAAAAAAAAAAAAAAAAACAACGAGGTGAGGAAAAATAAAAGACGTATGTAATGACGGTAACGGACGTCAATAGATATTTTTTATATTAAAGAAGTGAAGACGTAACGACGACGATTACGGCGATTTATGACGAAATATTAATTTGCACTATTTAGTAGCGTAGAGCGTAGTAGTGATTATTGTAAACCTTAGTGTCTTCTATTCCTTGTGAAATTGTAAGTGCCCGGCCCAGTATTCAAGTGAAAGTACCCGATTAAATTGTTAATTATCTGCAAGACGGTTTTATTTGGAAGAAACCCTAGACAATAAGAAAAAAAAGCCTACATTTTAGGGGGAAAAAAAGAAAAAAGAACATACATTTGGTCCAAAACAGAATTTAATCAGTTTTCTGCCAAGAGTGATACTGTGAGAGTTTCAATTTCCAACTCTGACTTCCGTTAGTAGTGCGCGCGTAGTAAATGGTAGTAGTTGGGGAGCTGGCGTCAAAAACATGCAAGAGTTTTCGCAAGGCGGATATTTTCAAAATAGGTCGTACTTTAGTGCTAGAATGCTAGTGTACAGTCAGCAGTCACAGTTCCGGGACAGCTGGCTCTGGGACGCGGGCAAAGTTGTAATTTTAAGAAGCATCTAAACTGTTTTCACAAAGCTCAAAATTTATAGAAATTTTGCACATTATCTGTTTGAAGGTCACAGATAACGTATGTAAATCGTCAGACTTCTAGTTCGTTGCAAAAAGGGGGTCAGACGTCCTCAAAGTTCTTATTTTATGGCATTTTCTTCAAATATATTTGTCAAATACTTGCAAAAATATATTTTGACAGGACACCGAAGAAAATGCCATAAAATAAGAACTTTGAGGACGTCTGACCCCCTTTTTGCAACGAACTAGACGTCTGACGATTTACATACGTTATCTGTGACCTTCAAACAGATAATGTGCAAAATTTCTATAAATTTTGAGCTTTGAGAAAACAGTTTAGATGCTTCTTAAAATTACAACTTTGCCCGCGTCCCAGAGCCAGCTGTCCCGGAACTCTGAGTGCTGACTGTATACTAGCATTCTAGCACTAAAGTACGACCTATTTTGAAAATATCCGCCTTGCGAAAACTCTTGCATGTTTTTGGCGCCACCTCCTGGACTATAGTAAAGTGACGGACTTGGGCGCCAAAAGTGACAACTGTCAATGCCAGCCAGATCAGTGGCATTACTATTAACGTGACGTCAGTGGTAGACCAAGGCAAGAATTAGTGCAACAACAAAGATCGACGAGACATTGTGACGTTATCAGTGGGCCAGGGTCAATTTCAGGACTGGTGGACTTGATGGTGGATTGTGGTATTTTGTTTTCACATACAAACTTACACAGCGTGCAAGGATTGCAAGGTAGAATCTTTCAAATTTTATTTTCTTTGATTGGTTGTTTTTTATTGACTTCTCTCGAGAAGGTAAAAATAACGTTGTGTATTGAGTGTTTGAGTTTAATGAAATTTTAATTTAGACGAGTTTTTATTTACATTCATTTTGGAATATTCTTATTTTGAATTAATTTCTGTTGAAAAAAGAAATTGTTACTGCTTTAATTAATACTTAAATTTCGTATGTTTACTGGATTCAGTAGTAGGTAGTTCAATTTCTTTTGTTTATAAATAGCAGATTTAAGCTATTGAAGGTTGACATTATTTTCACAAATGTACATATTTAAAAAAAAATTAGATTAGGTATTTGTTCATTTCAGGTACATTTTGTAGACTTTTAGAGCATTTTGATATATAATATTTATTTGATTTTCTTTTACATACCTATTTATAAATTTTCAATATTTAGTAGATATTATAGTAGATATTATACTTAGTAATTTTGTGTAACGCTATTCGTCGTCTCTGCGTCAAAGATTTTACTGATTTTGCTTTTGAACACTCGTATTACATACCTATTAATTTCTCAACATGCCGACTTTGGGAGATTTTGAGAAAATAAATTCCAACATAATTAAGGTTTAAAGTCAACCCCCATTTTCTGAACCTTGTGTTCAAAAACTTTATTCCATAATTTTTTTAAGTAAATTTGACTCGCCATTTTTGAGATATATCGCAAAAACTGAAAAAAAGTGGGTTTTCACCATTTATGTCAAAACGAATAGATGAAGTTTCCCGTTATTTTTATTACGAACTACTATTGCAATTCTACGCGACATATATTTTTTTCAAATTTTTTGAACTTGTAGTTTTCTCGCTACTGCAAGAATAGTTGGAAATGCGCCTGTTGCTACACTGTTTAAACAAAAATCCGACGGATGAACGTTCAAAATTATTTGTGTTGGTCCAAACTACAACCCTGTTTATGTAAAACAGAATAATACTTCGAATTTCCGCAAAAAAAAGAAAAAACTTTCCATCACGCAATTTAATCAAATGCAGATTTCTATTTTTTTTGACTATCAAGTTAGGGCACACTATAGGGGCGACAGTACTGACATCTCGCGTTGCTGTAATAAACTATATGCCTGACTTTAAACCTTAATAGTCAATTAAAAGCTGTTGAAGCAGTATATCGTATAGCCTATGAAAAATAATCTCAACCTGAAACGGTTAGAAGACGATTGATGAAATTCTCTGGATTTCAGTTGGACACCGACTCAGAAGAGTATGCAACAAGGGTGACGAATATAAACAAACACAAGAAGACTGAACTAGTAGCTGCCTGTCATATTTTGGATTGGATCGAATTTGTTCTTATATGAATAAGCTCGACATTCAAGAAGAGAATGATGAAGATAACCACAATAGTGAACTCGAATATGAAGATGCTAACAATGAAAACCAGCATTAACATTCCGTCCCCGTGGCACGGACATCGCAGGACGTAATGGCACCAGACCTGTCGTCGGCCCACTACGTACATCCGACCACATGCCGACTCAGAGTTACACCAATTTGGTGAACAAATAAAGGGTCACGTAGACGTCGGAATCCGACTTCGGATCAGATGGAAGAGCTCTAGCGATCTCACTCAAAGATTTTTACAACGTAATTCTGAGGTCAGAATTAGGTAAAATTAGTATAGATTAATAACGTTTTTTCTTGTTGGTCACATTAGGGATATTTTTTTGTATAAGTATCATGCTAATGGTATTTGAAAAATCCTCTACATGACTTTGCGAAACAGACGCGTTATCATGGCTTTCACATACCTACCTGCTAGAATCTGACTATAAAATCGAGATGTTAGTTCAAGGTTGTCACCGCTTTAATTATGCAAATAAGGCAATCGGAATATAAAATCGATATGTTTATGTTAGTTCAAGGTTGTTACCGCTTTTGCATACATTGAGTGCCGACTCATAGATAGGCAATTACTTATACATAATAGAAGTCGGGTAAGTGTTTGGAAGAAGTCCGGAGAGGTCAGGAAAGGGCTGGATAAGGTCGGGAGAAATCTAGACAAGTCTGGATAAAGTCTGGATAAGGCTGGAAAAAGTTTAGCTAAGTCTGGAAAAGTTTGGATAAGTTTGGATAAAGTCTGGAATAGCCAGAAAATTTCTGGAAACGTCTGGAAAAGGCTCTATTAGGTCTGGAGAAATCTGGACAAGTCTGGATAAAGTCTGGAAAAATCTACCCAAGTCTGGATAAAGTCTGGAAAAGCCTGGAAATTTCTGGAAACGTCGGAAAAAGGCTGGATAAGGTCTGGAGAAATTCAGACAAGTCTGGATAAGTTCTGGAAAAGTGTATTTGAAGTCGGGAAAGTGTTTGGGAGAAGTCCGGAGAGGTCAAAGGGCTGGATAAGGTCTGGAGAAATCTAGATAAGTCTGGATAAAGTCTGGATAAAGTCTTGCTAAGTCTGGAAAAGTCTGGATAAGTTTGGATAAAGTCTGGGAAAGAGCCAGAAAATTTCTAGAAACGTCTGGAAAAGGCTCTATTAGGTCTGAAGAAATCTAGACAAGTCTGGATAAAGTCTGGAAAAATCTAGCTAAGCCTAGAAAAATCTGGATACAGTCTGGAAAAGCCTGGAAATTTCTGGAAACGTCTGGAAAAGGCTTAATAAGGTCTAGAGACATTCAGACAAGTTTGGATAAAGTCTGGAAAAGAGCCAGAAAATTTCTGGAAACGTCTGGAAAAGGCTCTATTAGGTCTGGAGAAATCTAGACAAGTCTGGATAAAGTCTGGAAAAATCTAGCCAAGTCTAGAAAAGTCTGGATAAAGTCTGGAAAAGCCTGGAAATTTCTGGTATCGTCTGGAAAAGCCTTGATAAGGTCTGGAGAAATTCAGACAAGTCTGGATAAAGTCTGGAAAAGTGTATTTGAAGTCGGGAAAGTGTTTGGGAGAAGTCCGGAGAGGTCAGAAAAGGGCTGGATAAGGTCTGGAGAAATCTAGACAAGTCTGGATAAAGTCTAGCTAAATCTGGAAAAGTCTGGATAAGTTTGGATACAGTCTGGAAAAGCCAGAAAATTTCTGGAAACGTCTGGAAAAGGCTCTATTAGGTCTGGAGAAATCTAGACAAGTCTGGATAAAGTCTGGAAAAATCCAGCCAAGTCTAGAAAAGTCTGGATAAAGTCTGGGAAAGTCTGGAAATGTCTGGAAACCTCTGGAAAAGGCTTGATAAGGTCTGGAGAAATTTTGACAAGTCTGCATAAAGTCTAGCTAAGTCTGGAAAAATCTGGATAAAGTCTGGAAATTTCTGGAAACGTCTGGAAAACGCATGGAAATTTCTGGATTGGGTCGGAAAAATTCTGGAAAATCTGGAAAGGGTTGAATTTTAGCGGATCTCAAAGCTCACAATAATCACAAGCATTAGCGTTGAAGTTTGCTTCGGCATTTTCAATGTTCTCCTCGGTTGCATCTTTGTGAAGGACTGTGAATTTGTTACTTATGTGACAATTCTCTGACAATATGCCTATTAGCTGTGCTATTAGATATTGCTCTGTAGATGGTTGTTTTTCAAAGCAAGGAAGTGGTTTAATATTTTTTCTAGGTCCAATAGAAGAATCTAGGTATGTATAGGGTTTTCCAATAGTAACGCTCGATGTTTGACAATAGCCCATGAAAAACTCGATAGTCACACAGGTGCTATCTTTGGCAGCCGTATTCAATTAGTCTCTGCATTTTATTATGGAGCGCTACACGATTGAGCAACGCGTCGGAATTGTTAAAAATTATTATCATTATCAAAACCAATGTTCTATTCGGAAAACGTTTCGTGCACTCCGTGCAATTTATGATGTCAACGATCGTCCTTCAGAATCCACAATTGGCCGACCTAACGTCACTGGATTTTTTTCTCTGGGCATTCAAAAATCCAAAGTCTATGTTGACAAATCTCGAACGGTTGCCGCCTTAAAGGCCAATATTAAGCACTTATTGCTGAAATTGAGCCATTTTTATGCGATAACGAACACTAAATGATTCTAACGACAATCTAAAATTGTCGGAGAAATGTATTGATAATTCGGATATTGTTGAAAACATCTATGAGAAGTAAAGTCCGTCGATTTTAATCTAATACTCGAAAGGAATGTGAGCTGGTGGCACCCTACATTTGAACGCCAATGGTCACCTAAGGTCACCCCTGGTTTTCGCTTCACCCCCTCGCTCCTCATACGAAAAGTCGACGAACAATACTAAAAGAAGGAAGATTCAGGGACTTGACCAAATCTGCAATACTTTCTGCAAGAAATGTTGATGTCGAAGAAATAAACGAATAAGTTGTCGAACTGTTGGACGTCAAGACCGAAAAACTCTACACCAGTATAGATAGTGTCAAGAACTGTGATAATAGTGATCTAAATGATGCTATTCTTCCAAAATATTTAAATTCGCTTAATCCGCCGAATTCCCGCTCCATGATTTACGATTGAAAACGAATTCTATTGTATGCTTATTAGAAATCTAAGCATCAGTGCAGGCCTTTGCAATGGCACAAGGCCTTTAGTTCTGGAACTTGGGGATAATCTGTTACGCTGTGAGATATTGACTGTAGATAAACAGGGAGAAATAGTGTTCATAAATCGAATAAAACTCTACTGCGAAAACGTCTACCCCTTTACGTTCAAACAAAGACAATTTTAAAATAAAATTAGCCTTTGCAATGAGTTACGATTAACAAATCTCAAGGACAAACATTTGATAGGATAGTAATTGATCTCCAGAAAGGATGTATTAGTCACGGACAACTTTATGTGGCGCTTTTCAGAGTTCGTTCGTGGGACTCATTCAAACTTTATTCAGGGAAACAAAGAGGCAATAGTGTTGTCAAAAACCATGTTTTTAAAGAATTGTTTTTTTGATAATTTAATTTTGAAATTTCGCAGTCATAGATGATTTCAGAAGATCTTTACAACTTATTTACAAGATATTTGAAGATCACAAGACAAAAACCTGAACAGGATA